AGCACGCATCATTTGTAGCAGCACCCACTTTTTGCGAATGTTATGTTCTAGTGTTTTACTGGTGATTAAGATCTGAGCTGGACTGGTTATTAGGTGCACGATTTTGCGAATATTCGTAATTGAAGGATACTTGAAGCACTTTGTTGGAACAGAAATATTAGAAAGCAACGTGTAAAAGAGTACATTGCAGCTAATCACATTTCGAATGGTTGGGTAATATTAAAGGGTACACTAACATTTGAACTACTCATAATTCCACACACAAAAGAAAATTTGATTGCGAAGCATTTTATGTGCTTTTCCATATTTGCAAAATATAATGTTAGACAGAAGGAACACATGATGACTTGCAAGACATAGTCCTAATAATTATATATGAAGCAAATGAAATTGATATTTGTATTATTTTATATTAGATAATGACATTAAGGGAATATAGTTCTAATTTGTGCAATACCATGATCACCCTCAACCAACAGAACAGCTGTAGCCGCAATCACTTAGTCGTATCGGTCGGCTTCTTCCGAGCAGCTTTGACGTGCTTATGCTCATTCATGTCACCACCATCGTCTAGTATCTCTCTCACAGCATCAGGGGACACATAGTCCCAATTATAACTTGTATGAGTAGTTGCCGCGAATGCTCGGAATTTTTCGAATCCTTCGTTGAATGCCAACTCCAGTTCACTGTGGTGCTCTTCGCATCGCATATGGTTCATCAAACAACCTTTAATTTCATCATTCATTACTGCATCCAACTCCTCAGCTTTCAGCTTCCTTTTATGACTCAGCTTCAAGTACTTGTTCTTTTGGGAGAACGCTTTGTTCACTCTAATGTTAAGATCAGCCAAAATGGCCTCGTCTTCAACACATTTCTCGTGCCATGAATTGATCAGTCTGGAATTATAATCCAGCTTGGTACTGACTGCATCTATTGCCTCTAATGGATCATCGGAGTCCCCCTCACTCCCAAATGATGTTGAAAATGGAAGGGGTCGGCGAGTACAACGTGGAAA